TATCAATCAGTACATCCAACATCCAATGGATTTAGTGTAAAGACGTCATTAACAGTCTGAGAAAAACATGACCTTGTGCAATGGAAAAATAAATTGCTTCGCTGAGCGCAGCTGGATACGACCGCAGAGGTCCAACCCTGAACAGTTGGGGCAAAATGGACACAATATTCGCGCTTGATACAGTCCTGAATTTGGATTGTAATTCAATATTTGACACATAATAGGTTTCTGACACAGAATAACTGTAGTCAAAGAACTTAGAAATGGTTATATGATTTGAATTTATATTCAATTTTTTGCTTTTGTGCAATACACTATGCTATTGCGAATTGACCTCCCCCCCCCCCCCCCCCCTTTAAAAAAAATTTTAAATGATTTTCTTTTTGATTTCTGAAATCTTTAGGAGAAAAAATTGTCCCCCCCACCCCCCACTACCGATCCCCCCCCCCCCCACATCTTTTTCCAAAAAAACAATTATTTCCCTCAGTCATGGTCATAATTTCAATTCAAATTTCCAATGGAGTTTGCAACCATATTAACCCATCTAAATACATCATAAAAGTCTTAAAATAGAAAATGACATACATAATCATAGCTAAAATTAATTTACCTTTATCAGCATTTTTAAAATTATTAAAATAGTAACTTCTAAAAATGAATTGACAGCTAATCACCTCAAGACAATACAAAAATTCTTTATACATAATCTAAAAGCAGTGTACGGGAGGTAATTCAAAGTTGTGTTTGAATTACCTCCCTTACACTGTAATTTGTACTTAAATAATTGTCCTTTAACCAGGACACCCTTGTTTTTTCTCACTTTTTTGCCCCTAATTCCTAAATGGTTTGAGCCATAACCTCCAAAGCCAATCCTAACCATCCCTTTGTGGTATGGAAACTTGTGGTATAATTTCAGAGAGATCCACACACTGTTCCACAAGTCATTGTCATGAAACTAGAAAAATGCTTATTTGGGCCCCTTTTTGGCCCCTAATTCCTACACTGTTGGGACCATAACCCCCAAAATCAATCTCAACCTTCCTTTTGTGGTTGTAAACCTTATGTTTAACTTTCATAGATTTCTATGTACCAATACTAAAGTTATTGTCCGGAAACCAAATGTCTTCGGACGACGACGACGACGACGACGACAACGTGATACCAATATACGACCGCAAACTGTTTTTGCGGTCGTAAAATAAGGGACCGACAGATTGTAGTACCGTCAAAGTGCATATGTGTATAACAATTAGTATGATTTTAATTTACTGATAACAAAATCAATGTTTATACCAATAAAAACAATATTCAAAGATCTAATTACAGTTTTGAATTAGTAACCTTTTAGAATAAGTTTATTTAAAGGATTGATAAGTTTACCCGGATCGTATATAAATTTCCGGTCTCGGTAAACAACATCACCGTAAAATTTAGGATGTGCTATTCCGTCTGAAATAAGTTTTTTTTTTACAGGTACAGCCAAACTTGCATACCAAATATTTGTATCTATGGAAGAATTTAGTAAAGGTTTTAATCAATTTGTGGTAACGAAATCCCTGACTTAATAATTTACCAGTAATACATAGATTACACTCATTGAAATCCAAACCGTCACTACAGACACGGGCATAACGAACGAGTTGGGATATATAAACACCGTAAGATGGTGCCATAGGAACATCACCGTCCAAAAAAGGAAAATTAACAATAGGGAAAGACAAGAGTGCACACACTGAAATATCTCGCCTGCTTTACTACCACTGACTTTATGTTGATAGCCCCAAATATAAAGTTTTACTACAAGTATCACATTAATTTATCATGATCCAAGAAAATGAAGTCAAAGTCAGATAAACCAAGCCAGAAATACATGTACACCTTACAATCATTCCATACATTGAATATAGTTGACCTATTGCTTATAGTATATACAAGAAACAGACCAAACCATGAAAACTTTATATTGACCAATGAACCATGAAGATGAGGTCAAGGTCAGATGAACCCACCCAGATAGACGTGTACACTTTACAATCATTCCATGGATCAAATATAGTTGATGTATCAAATATAGTATATAAGAAACAAACTTAACCATGAAAACTTATCATTGACCAATGAACCATGAAAATGATGTCAAGGTCAGATGATACCTGCCAGACAGACATATAAACAGTACAATCATTCCATACACCAAACATAGTTGACCTATTGCTTATAGGTTAAGAAAAACAGACCAAAACACAAAAACTTAACATTGAGCCATGAACCGTGAAAATGAGGTCAAGGTCAAATAAAACCTGCCAGACTGACATGTACATCATGAAATATTTCCATACACCAAATATAGCTGACCTATTGCATACAGTATTAGAAAAATAGACTAAAACACAAAAACTTAACTTTAACTACTGAACCATGAAAATGAAGTCAAGGTGAGATGACACCTACCAGTTGGTGACATGAACACCTTAAAATCTTCCATACACCAAATATAGTAGACATATTGCTTATATTATCTGAGATATGGACTTGACCACGAAAACTTGACATTGTTCACTGATCCATGAAATGAGGTCGAGGTCAAGTGAAATCTGTCTGACAGGCATGAGGACTGTGCAAGGTATGCACATACCAAATATAGTTATCCTATTATTCATAATAAGAGAGAAATTAGCATTACAAAAAATCTTAACTTTTTTTTCAAGAAGTCACTGAACCATGAAAATGAGGTCAAGGACAAAGGACATATGACAGACGGAAACTTCATAACATGAGGCATCTATATACAACGTATGAACATCCAGGTCTTCTACCTTCTGAAATAGTAAGCTTTTCAGTATTAAGTTAACGCCGCCGCCGCCAGTACACTATCCCTATGTCGAGCTTTCTGCGACAAAAGTCGCAGTCTCGACAAAAAATCATCCCTTTTGTCGTAAATTTTTGTGTAGAGTTTCTGGTGTAAAACTGACATATCTAAATCTAGGAAAGGACACTTTTTGCTGTTGATATTTGATTTATTTAAAGTAAGTTGTTGTGGGCACATTTCGGCAGTATATTTAGAGAATTCTTGATTATTCAGCGAAAAAATATCATCAAGATAACGGTAAGCGTTGTTGAATTGATGGAATTTAGACGGGTCTTTTTTTTGGCTGTCCTTTTGGTCATATATATAGCTCTTCAAATTTTGCGGTTCTTATACATCTTTGGCTTTCAAATCATTTGGCTTTGATCGTTCCTGATGAAGGTAAATCCAGAAAAGAGTTTTGGACGCATGAAATTTATAAAGTGTTGTTTTCCTTTTTTTCCATTTTGGTTCGGGGTGCTTTTCAGCAGACAGTCTTCCTTACTATAGCGAACATATGTGCCTTTCTTCTTGTCTACTTCTTTCTCAAGAAGAATGAAAAGAAGCTAATACAAGATCCTTTAAATTCTCTTTTCTGCGATGATGCTGATTGAGTCTGTCCCATTGAACTTCGAATAATGGAAGCCACAGATATAGGTCTACTTCATACCTTGACTTGTACCAGCTGCAGAGATCGAAGTTAAGACCGGACCTTTACAACAAAAGAAATTCATCAATATATATCATTGTGTAAATTTCATTTTTTTACGTTTTTTAAAACATTATAGCATCAGACTATATCATTTTCTTTTCTAGACCTTTTAAATTGCCCAAATACAAGGATCAAATGGACGTGTAGAGCTTCTTGAATACAATTCAAAATGATTTTTTAGTAGTGTTTGTATAATATTTCAGCGGAATATGGTTTGATTGAGCTGGGTTAAAATATTTTTTTTTAATTCTAAAATATCGAATCTCGAGTATTGAATAAGCTAAATAGGCTGTCTGTTCCCCATTAAATAATTGTTACGTAGGATTTTACTAATGATCCTGTCACTTCAGAACTAGTCCAAGATTGCTCAGATGGCCCCTTCAAATCCTAAAATGGCTGTTAGACGTAAGAGCAATATTGGTAGTATAGAATCACAATTATTACAAGGTAAATTAACAGCTTTGAAGACCAATGCAAGGACCGTAATAGCACAAAAGAAGGGAAAGGGTTCAATACACTATTAATCAAAGACATCTGTATGCCTTACCACAGAAAACCGAACACTCGGGTTTCAGTTATCATCGATTTAGACTAAGTATATCTGACAAGTATAACTTGATAGCTTGTTTAACCACGTTCTATCTATAGTAACAACGACAATTGGTTTAATGGACAGTGTAAGACATTTCCGTGGACATGAAGGCTCTATGAATAACCCAAGCTTACTTTGGCAGTATCATTTTCGTAAGAACAAGAATTCCTTTAATTGAGGCCAAATAATCTCCTAGGAAATGAGACATGCCAATGTGCATACAACTGCATACCCATTATCATCGATTTATTGGCAGTGGTTCCCTTTCAACCAATCTGATTGGAATACAGACCCTGTGTAACCAAAGAGCGTACATAGGATCTATAGTTTAAACATATTGCCGTTTAAATGACCTAATCACAAACAACATATTGCTGACACCCCAACCCCTAACAGCATGTCTTGTTGTTACGACTCTACCACAGGACAGGCAAGGGAAAACCTCATTATGGACCACCAAAGGAAAATATCTGTGAATTTTGTTTCTGATTTATTCATTAGTTCTTTACAATATTTTTTTTTCAAATTCCAGCCAATTAGAAACTAAAATAGGCTAAGGCTGCCATGTTTGTTGATGAATTGGCATTAAAATAGCAATACTTAAAGACTTTTTTAAAATTATAAATACTTTCATATTTGGTTTGTTTTGCTCAGTGTTTCTAAACATGAAGATTTAAATGTGGAAAGAGCTTTTTTTTTAAAAGTAACAATACTTTCATGTTTGTTTTTGTTCTGTTCAGTGTTTCTAAACAAGATTAAAATGTGAAATGTTAACAGCTGGAGGCCAAGTGAAGTCAATGGCTAGCATGGGCCTTTGGCTCAGGCTAGCTCAAATGGAATAAACACAAAACTTTACTATTTTCAACTTTTATTTTATTTTGACACTCATTCATATATAATCAGTCCTTCATACATCATAACCCTAAAATATCATTTAGAAGCTTAATTTGTGTGGCCATTGCCACAATTCATACAATATACTGACAATATAAAAACTTATATACCATTCACAACTTTATAAAACATAAGAAAAACAGAGAGATCTTTCAAGACCAACTCTTCAAACAGTATCAGAATGTCTAATTATTTAATCATCAGTAACATAAAACAAATATCAACATTTTTTCATGATTTAAAATAATGTTTCCTCACTTGTATCAATGTTTAATGAATTTTTAACACCTATCACAACCTGCTTTTGTGGGATCTTAGAGTAATATTTAAGATTCCCTTTTCCTATTGATTTTCCTTTTATCATGCATTATTTATTTTCTGCTGACTGTTGTAGGGTTTGGTAGATCTAAAGAAAACAAATGCAGAGATACTTTTGTAAAAAGAGAATACTTTCACTTTAAATATAGATTTGTTGGTATAATATTTTTTTGATGCAGTATAAGCATACATTGAGATATACATAAAATCTTGTTAAGTAATAATAAGTAGTTGGGAGCTAAAGAATAACATTTTTGTTTACTTTTGGCATTTAGACGTATTAAAATAAATTTATCTAGAATAAAAATATCCAAATGCAATCAGAGAGTTGTTAAAATAAAGCTTGCATGCTGGGAAAGGACATCACATCATTCAATATACCTGATATACTGGTGATGTGGCAAATATTAGGATTTTTTATTCATTTAAAAAATATTAGTTAAGGTAAATCTCCTTATTTTTCTTAATTAGTATTTTAACATACGTTTTTCAAGGTCTTTTAAAAAATATCTGTTGTTTTAAACTATGTCAATTCCATATAGAAAAAAAACAACATATAAAGTCAGATAAAATTTAGAATCGCCAAAGACTAATTTTGCTTCATATGTGAATTTTTCTTATCTTTTGAAAATACATTAAAATAAATAGTAATTAATGTAAACATTTTTTTTCATTAATAAAAAAAAAATGAAAAGCAATGACAGTAACTGGACTTGTACTTATTTCTTAAAATAACAAGGCAAATCACCATTTTAGTGACCAAGATCCCCCAATCCCCCTGATAAAGCAGAGGATTGATAGTCCAAGTATATAATATGGTGTTTTGTTGTGCATTTATTTTAATCAATCTACTGTAATTTGTTCCATAATCTTTGAATTCAGCAGTACAGCATGCTATAATTCTATGACCTGCAATCCCGAGAAGTAGCTTCGTTAAATAAAAAGAATAAAAAAGTCAGCATAAAATTCTTCCATCTTGGAACACACTTAACATTAACAGACAGAATGTTACCAACAACACATAAAATAGAAACACACTAAAACATGCACACATAAAATATGAATTCAGTATAAAATTCAAACATTTTACCAACTCTAGATATATACTAATGTGTAACAATATTTTGAATATATAAATGACAAATATATTGAAATATCCTAATATTAATTGTACAGCCAAGGACCTTTAGCTCTAACAATGATACTATCGTGGAAATTACAAACATCACAATTCAAACAACTAGGCAATAAATCTAACTAAGAAAAAAATGCAAAAGGACTTTTATAGCATTTCGTCCATGAAAACTACATCAAAAGTAAAAAGAAAAGTTTTTTACAAATTGACATCTCTCTCCTTTTTAAAAGTAACATGTTTTTGTTCTGGTAATATGGATTTCTACCCAATTATTGGAGATTAAATAAAACATTTTTTTTTGTCTATTTTTGTTTACTAACAAAACTCATTCATACTTTTACTTTGACAACTTACATGACTGTCACACAATTGTTAAAATATATCATCTCTTGTATGACTGTCACATAATCTTACCTCTTGCTTGACAGACAGTGGATTCAGATCTCTATCAGAAGTAAATAAATAACAGAACAATGGGCCCTCAAGTAGAAATTTGTTTTCGAAACGTTGCTGCACTACATTGACTAACAAGTCTGTGAAGGCAAAACATTAATGGCTAATGAAATATTTTGAATTAAGAAATATAAATATTTGGCCAATTAAAAAGAACGAATACAACAAAACATACAAAATAAGCCCTAGCATTAAAATTTTATTAATTTTAACTTGTTACTGTCAAGACTAGCATGGTTGTCACTTTGGAAGTATAAATGAGCCAAGAAAATAAGGTAAACTAGACAAATTATACTTATGGTTGGTGGTTTGAAAATATTATTGCTTGCATGTTTTTGTGGTCAAATCTGTACACAATAAATATTAAACATGTATATAAGTGATCCCTGAGACTGCATATATAAATGCAAAAATGTTGGTCAACAATAAACAATTCTATTGGTTGGATTAAATTTGAGTTATTGAGTCAACTATAAGACCAGATTTTGCTCTTTTGAATTCATAAATTATATCTGATAGAAGTTTGAATTTTAAAATTTTTCTTCAATTGACAATTTTTTTTCTTTTAATAATTGTTGATCAAATGATTAATTTTGGATAAAAAAATAGATTTTGTACAAATTATTTCTAGTTTAGACAGACTGGTTGAAAATCTATAACTATCTGCTATGCCTTATTGCAGTATAACATTACAGGTATGCTTGTCTACTATAATGCTGGTTTTGCTTTGCAAAAACACCATGCAATTGACATTTGTATATCAATGCTGGTATTTACATGATTAACAAGCCTTCCATACCTTTTATCATCCCAATTGGGGTTAATAGTTCTCTTTTTGGGTCAGCACATGTCTTTCTACATTCTGACTTTTTCTGTTAGTCAAACACCAATACAATATTTTCTTAAGTATAAAGTTAATACAAACATACAACATGACAATTTCATTCACCTGTATTCAAAATTTTATGACCAAACAAATTCATTTTTAGAAATGGTTGATATAACATGGGCATATATATGTAGAGCAAATGAGATTCTCTGCATGATAACTTACTTCATACAGTACACAGGTTAAAAAGGCCTCTTAAGGATGATGACTTAGAGATACACTGCTAAATGATGTTCTTTGTTCAATCGAAAGCAAACTTAATGCTCACAAAATGACTGATTCTACTTTCAAAGACAAGAATGAGATCATAAGAATGAAACAGAAATGGCAAATGAAACATATTTACCTACATGACTTGAATATTCCATGATCATTCAAACATGAAAGGTGTTACCAAACACTATACCCTGATATACAGCTGATTGTGTTTATAGGTTTGTATTTTGATTGATAAATATCTTTTAAGTTACATTCAAGACATGGTAAAAAATGAAGTCATACATGCATACAGATTAAATGTTCTTGCAGTGGCAAAGCCCTTGTGTGCAAATGGGATGTTAAACCACAATCAATTATTTAATCAATCAATCAGATAGGTTTATCAAGACTTGCCTGAGGGAGTTGAAACCTTAGTCTCATGTAAAACATAAAAACTTTTAGTGAAATAAAAATTGTACTTAACTATACATTTCCTTTTAGGTCGGTTTCCAATTTTACTAAACACTATATGAAATTAGGACACAGAACTCAAATGTCATTGTTACTTTAAAAAATATTTCCCAATTTACTAAAAAAAAATATGTTAATTACCATACATTTTACTTATTGTAAATATGATGGTTGTATATCATTTTCATGATTAATCTACACATAAAACTAAAGCTTACTTGACAAACTTTTCAATAATCTATGTCAATGGTTTTGTTTTCAGATGAACCAACATCACTTAACATATTTATTGACTGATAAAAAAAAGTCATAATTAGATTTGAAATCATGCATACAAGATCTGGTTCCCTGTATAATGGTTTCTTCAGTGGTCCTTGTGAGAATGAGTTGAGCTACTGGATCCCTGCTGTACAAAGCTATCATCATGCATGTCCATTTTGTCTGTGACCTAAATAGTCGTTATAACTTATTGTTATTTTCTCGCTTCGATAACGTGTCAATTTTATATTTCTACGGACTTCATTGTTAATTGGTCCCCTCAAACCTCCTTTGCGAAGAAGAGAGTCTATTGTCTGTACAGCATCCCAGCCTGAAAAAGTCAACAAAACTGTTTTATTCTAGATCTAGAAATGACTAATATAATTTTATAAGGTTCAGTTGTACATCAAGGCATTGATTATAAACACTATAAATAAAATCAATTTTTTTGAATTCTACAAAATAGTAAGATTTAAAAAAAAAAAATCATTGATTTTCGACCTGAGAGGTTGTTTCAAAAGAAATTAAACCGACTTATGCTTTAAAAAAATTCTAATTATAAAATTCGGTGCTTTGCTTTTGCACCAATTGGCATTTCATTTGTGCCACAAATCATATTTCATTTAAGCCAAAATAATACATTTCATCTTTGAATGAAAGATCTGTATTATAAAGAGACTTATAATGATAATTATGTTACAACATAGTTTTAATAGCATTATATAACATATTCATCATAAATCACATCAAGAAACCAAAATGAAAACTTAAAGACACAGATTAGTTTATTTAAATGTACTTTTTTGTTGGTCGAAACCATACTCAGACTGTATCATTCAATGTTTTATAATGGTTTTATCTGTCCACATCTGTTGTGAATCTGGCTTTGCAACTTTTTGGGGTATATCTATACAATTGGCCATCATTTTTTAAGATATCCTAAATGTGAGTTCTTAAAAAAATACTGACATATTTCCTCTTCTATTTGTCTTCGAAATGAATTATGTCCATTTTTTCACCTCGAAAATGTAATCCCTTTAAAATTTTAAACCTATTAGTGACTCAGTTTTGTATGAGACTTGAATTTGAACACACTTACTTACCCGATTTGAGAGAATACTCTACAACACTTCTTATACAGGACTCATACTCAGAATACAACTTATTCTTAAATTGTCTGTTCATAAATTTTGAAATTAAAAAGAAACTAAGGTTTCAACTCCCTCAGGCAAAGTTGACCTTTGATGGATTTGGCTATTTTTTTTAGGTCCTTTTAGATCATATAGCTCTTCAACTGTTTCTATTCTTATATATCCTTGGCTTTCAAATATTTGGCTTTGAGTGTTCCTGATGTAGGTAATTCCAGAAAAGAGCTTCCGACGCATGGAATTTATACTGTGTTAACAATTGTTTTCATATTAAAAAGTCTTCATTATATTTTACCTGTAAATTGGCCCAAAGCAATATTTATTTTTTTGTGCAAATGAAATACTGGATTTTTAAAAAAATGCATTGAACCCAAATTTATGGCATTTCAAAGCAGTCTATATTTGTTATACTAGTTTCCTTTGTTATTGTTCCATACATGTAACTCCACAACAAATAATTGGTTTTCCTTCCATGTAATAGCCTGGCATAAAAAACTTTATCATACATGTAGAAAGAGGATATCTTACAATTCAATTAACTTTGTTCTCTAATCTAATATATTCATTATTACCTTGTTCTATAGCTACCTCTGGTAAATATGTGGCAGTTTTCTTGTGACCCTTTTCATTCAAAAATTCTATTCTGATCCCATGCTTACCAACCTTAAACATCAACAAACATTAATATTTAACAAAACATTTAAATTGACAAACTTCAACATTTCTTTCAATGATTTGTCACATGCATAAAGTAGTTGAATAAAAGTACTGACATACTGTTTAATAAGATGATCACAAGATCTGAACGCTGGAAAAATAAAGATAGATTTGCATTTTAAATAACGCCCAGTGGGAAATATTTCCTGCATATTATACACAAGAAAACATTGAAAATTTATCAAATTGGTAGGTTCTACAAAGTGAGTAGAAAAATTTGGTCTACATGGAAAAAGAGGGTATGTTGGATGGGTAAGAAATTTTGTCTTGCATCATGCCACCTACAGACACTTCAGAGAGCTTGGCACTAGCCTACATAAGACATTGCATTTTACATCTCTAATCCAGTTGGACAGGAAATAATCAATAGTGATCGAAATCATTGGTGGAAAGTTTGTAAGAGTTGTTTGAATAATTTCAAATCATATGCAGGGGTGTAGCTGCGGTTAGGTACTTTAGGCACATGCCTACACATAATTTTTTCACAAATATTTTTTTATGAAAAAAATTAATGGCAAAGTTATCTGTAGATGCACATGAAGTCGTCAAAACTCTTTAATTAACAAATGTCATTTGTACACAAGTCTATCATCCGTGAATGGAGTATTGGATAGAGTTGTATGTACATTATATTCCACCTCATGAAACTGAAAACTAGAACTTTGCCCCAGATCATTTCACTTCTATCAACAAATTCTTGAAGGAACCTCAACATGCTCAAAACCCTGATATATTCTTAGATACATGATTTTTATTAGTTGTTGGCTTTCAACTAGCTTTCAACTTGGTCTTCATCCGACCTACATAAAACCTTTGACAAAGTGGGGCTTTTGTTTGGTTGTGTGGGATGTATAAATACGCAGTAACGTCTGGTCAGAATGCGGACGTTAAATCCGATGCCTATTGAACCTAGAGAATACCACGCTCTCTGGACGTTAAGAACACTTGCAACAACTCTTTGAGGGGTCCGACGGTGGTCTACCCTGCTGAAAGGCAAATTTCTGTCCCTATGATATAAACCCTCAATTTCCAAATTTCCAGACCTTCATCCTAGACAATCCATATTACAGGACCTACCTGATATATTAATTGTAAATTTGTTTTTGTCCTGAACATGCGAGAACTATTTGCTAATTGTAACTTCGAGGACTCTCGATCTACGTCGTGTATATCGACCACGATTTTTTCAAATTCCTAAGCTAGAAGGGATTTTACAGTACAAGTTATCAGAAAATATGAATTTCTTAAATTTTGTTAGATACACAACAGCCCGTGTGGATTTTGCTTTTTCCACTGGCCCACTGTGGGCAGTCCACCCACTCTAGCTATAATCTTTTTTTTGTAAAAATATTGATTACAAATGCTTATCTGCTTTTTTCAAGTGATTGTACTTGCAAGTCTTTAGATGAAACAAAAGAAATTGAATGCCCACTCCTACAGGTGGGCAGAGTGGACAAGGTACAAATTTTGCCCACCCGGTGCCCACTCCCATGGTGGGCCGGTGGACAAAGCAAAATCCACCCGAGCTGTAGTGTAGTATGAAAGGAACCATGCTTCTGCATAAGGCATCGACTGTGTGTGTGTGTGTCTCGGTGTGTGTATGTTTGTGAGGCCGGGGATGTTGAAGGTTTAAGAATCAAAAGATGGAAAAGTCGATACCTAACCCAAAGGGTAGTATTATTATACTGTAGTCTGAGTGTTTACGTACCGCAATGATTTTTTAATGAAGGATTGTAAATATGCTCCGTGTTTAAGACCGTACTTTGACCTATAATGGTTTACTTTTACAAATTGTGACTTGGATGGAGAGTTGTCTCATTGGCACTCGTACCACATCTTATTTCTAACTATCAATAGATGTACATATATATATATATATATATATATCCGTTGTTCGACCTGCTAGTCAAATGCGTTTTGTTAAAATATACTTTTTCACTTTTTTGGTCTTTTGGAAAATGTTGTTTGTGCTGTATTTAGACCCCTCTACAAAGAAATTTGTTTTGCATGCACACGTATAAAAGTTGCGGTTTTTATCCAACGCAATCATAGGTTTGAACGTTGTTTTCAATTTAGACTTGTTTATATTTTTTCGTTTGGGCTTGTATTATATTTGCCTTCGGGTTTATATGATCCGTTCATCCTATTTCGACTCTTCAAAATTCAAGAGTCAATCCCAAATTGAGGTAAATTATATGGCCTTCCAAATACCGTTTCGATTCCTAACATCACTGAAGAGACATTAGTTGTCGAAATCCGGATATGGTGTACAAATTTTTGCACCTCATGTTTGCGGTATACCATCTTTTCCGCAAGTTTATTCTTTTCTGTTTGGTATTAAATTAATATAATTAAGATCCATTGTGTTACATCTGTGATCCGTTTATTTGGCAATCGCCATGGCAGTCAGCAGGGTTTAAGAACATCCGTTGTTCGACCTGCTAGTCAAATGCGTTTTGTTAAAATATACTTTTTCACTTTTTTGGTCTTTTGGAAAATGTTGTTTGTGCTGTATTTAGACCCCTCTACAAAGAAATTTGTTTTGCATGCACACGTATAAAAGTTGCGGTTTTTATCCAACGCAATCATAGGTTTGAACGTTGTTTTCAATTTAGACTTGTTTATATTTTTTCGTTTGGGCTTGTATTATATTTGCCTTCGGGTTTATATGATCCGTTCATCCTATTTCGACTCTTCAAAATTCAAGAGTCAATCCCAAATTGAGGTAAATTATATGGCCTTCCAAATACCGTTTCGATTCCTAACATCACTGAAGAGACATTAATTGTCGAAATCCGGATATGGTGTACAAATTTTTGCACCTCATGTTTGCGGTATACCATCTTTTCCGCAAGTTTATTCTTTTCTGTTTGGTATTAAATTAATATAATTAAGATCCATTGTGTTACATCTGTGATCCGTTTATTTGGCAATCGCCATGGCAGTCAGCAGGGTTTAAGAACATCCGTTGTTCGACCTGCTAGTCAAATGCGTTTTGTTAAAATATACTTTTTCACTTTTTTGGTCTTTTGGAAAATGTTGTTTGTGCTGTATTTGGACCCCTCTACAAAGAAATTTGTTTTGCATGCACACGTATAAAAGTTGCGGTTTTTATCCAACGCAATCATAGGTTTGAACGTTGTTTTCAATTTAGACTTGTTTATATTTTTTCGTTTGGGCTTGTATTATATTTGCCTTCGGGTTTATATGATCCGTTCATCCTATTTCGACTCTTCAAAATTCAAGAGTCAATCCCAAATTGAGGTAAATTATATGGCCTTCCAAATACCGTTTCGATTCCTAACATCACTGAAGAGACATTAATTGTCGAAATCCGGATATGGTGTACAAATTTTTGCACCTCATGTTTGCGGTATACCATCTTTTCCGCAAGTTTATTCTTTTCTGTTTGGTATTAAATTAATATAATTAAGATCCATTGTGTTACATCTGTGATCCGTTTATTTGGCAATCGCCATGGCAGTCAGCAGGGTTTAAGAACATCCGTTGTTCGACCTGCTAGTCAAATGCGTTTTGTTAAAATATACTTTTTCACTTTTTTGGTCTTTTGGAAAATGTTGTTTGTGCTGTATTTAGACCCCTCTACAAAGAAATTTGTTTTGCATGCACAGGTATAAAAGTTGCGGTTTTTATCCAACGCAATCATAGGTTTGAACGTTGTTTTCAATTTAGACTTGTTTATATTTTTTCGTTTGGGCTTGTATTATATTTGCCTTCGGGTTTATATGATCCGTTCATCCTATTTCGACTCTTCAAAATTCAAGAGTCAATCCCAAATTGAGGTAAATTATATGGCCTTCCAAATACCGTTTCGATTCCTAACATCACTGAAGAGACATTAATTGTCGAAATCCGGATATGGTGTACAAATTTTTGCACCTCATGTTTGCGGTATACCATCTTTTCCGCAAGTTTATTCTTTTCTGTTTGGTATTAAATTAATATAATTAAGATCCATTGTGTTACATCTGTGATCCGTTTATTTGGCAATCGCCATGGCAGTCAGCAGGGTTTAAGAACATCCGTTGTTCGACCTGCTAGTCAAATGCGTTTTGTTAAAATATACTTTTTCACTTTTTTGGTCTTTTGGAAAATGTTGTTTGTGCTGTATTTAGACCCCTCTACAAAGAAATTTGTTTTGCATGCACACGTATAAAAGTTGCGGTTTTTATCCAACGCAATCATAGGTTTGAACAATGTTTTCAATTTAGACTTGTTTATATTTTTTCGTTTGGGCTTGTATTATATTTGCCTTCGGGTTTATATGATCCGTTCATCCTATTTCGACTCTTCAAAATTCAAGAGTCAATCCCAAATTGAGGTAAATTATATGGCCTTCCAAATACCATTTCGATTCCTAACATCACTGAAGAGACATTAATTGTCGAAATCCGGATATGGTGTACAAATTTTTGCACCTCATGTTTGCGGTATACCATCTTTTCTGCAAGTTTATTCTTTTCTGTTTGGTATTAAATTAATATAATTAAGATCCATTGTGTTACATCTGTGATCCGTTTATTTGGTAATAGCCATGGCAGTCAGCAGGGTTTAAGAACATCTGTTGTTCGACCTGCTAGTCAAATGCGTTTTGTTAAAATATACTTTTTCACTTTTTTGGTCTTTTGGAAAATGTTGTTTGTGCTGTATTTAGACCCCTCTACAAAGAAATTTGTTTTGCATGCACACGTATAAAAGTTGCGGTTTTTATCCAACGCAATCATAGGTTTGAACGTTGTTTTCAATTTAGACTTGTTTATATTTTTTCGTTTGGGCTTGTATTATATTTGCCTTCGGGTTTATATGATCCGTTCATCCTATTTCGACTCTTCAAAATTCAAGAGTCAATCCCAAATTGAGGTAAATTATATGGCCTTCCAAATACCGTTTCGATTCCTAACATCACTGAAGAGACATTAATTGTC